CGCTGTTGTTGCCACGTTAGTCGTGCTAGCGCCTCTTGTGGCGCGGAGGCGACATTGACGTCCATAAACGGTTAAAACAAAACAAAAACAAAAAACTCGCCTAAAAAAAAGAAAACAGGATTGAAATTATAATTTTGTACTTGTTTTATTGAATGCATTGTACAATGTCAAGCAAGGTACATTCGTACCTTGTTGTCGATGCCAAAACAAAATCCAAACACATCATGTATTTGTTTGTTACAAGGGGAGGGGTATATCTGAGTTGACATGAAGTTGGTTCAATTTCGCATTTGTCACTTACCGTTTTAAATGTGCCTTTCAGCGCTTGCAGTGAATTTTTCGCATCCATGTGTCTGTTATCCGACCGACGGGATGGCCCGCACCTTGAAGTCCAGAAGGTGGCAGCATCCTTCCGAAGCTCCGGGGCGCAGTCGCCATCAACCTGACGCGTCTGCGGCGGCCCTGCTCGCCCACACCGGTGGTGGAAGTCATCCCTGCGCCTCGAGGCTTGTCATTTTCTCCGTTTGCTGCGAGTGGGTGGTTTGCCCTCTGTGGTTTGTCGCACTACTGGCGGACCCGGAGGAGACGCTCCAGGGTGGGATGGACGTGTCGGCCCCTGCTGTCTTTGGGCCCAGACACGCAACTAAATGCCCTGTGGTCGGGCATTCCAAAACTCCTCCAGAGCGTCCTTCAGACAGCCTTGACCAAAATATCAGATCCTGCCATCCTCGCCCTGCCGTCACAACATCACATGGAAATATGTTTACAATGTCACACCATGCTCACAATTGATTCTTGCCTTAAATGTACTCAGTTGATGTATTTTTCTCAGAATAGCACAAAATAAGATGTCGCAAGTAGAGCCTTGAGGAGTTGGATTTGACAAAAGTCCTACTTTATATGTAAAAATGAATAAATCATTACAAATCTATGTTTTATTGACACAGCTTGAATTATGTCCCAGCAAAAATGAAGCCCCGCCAAGAATCCAAGCCAAACCACTTTTCAAAGAAATAAATACACATCAACACATTGCAGCGAACAGTTTCCATCATCCCATTTTATAAAGCAGTGTTGCCCAAACAAGGGTATGCACGTGACCATGTTGCGGTTCCATGCAAACCTTGAATATTTGTATTTCTCAGATCAATAACCTGTGGCACAGCCGCGTGCCAACTCAAATGTCTCTTTAAAGCTCAGATGAGTAGCGTTGCTATTCAGTGCTTTATATGTCCAGGGATTTGGGCAATGGACCTCCATGTTTATTTATTTATTTTAAAATCTGAGTTATGTATAACAAAGACAGTTTTTTTTCCCCAAGCATCGGCAGCTAAAAAGCCTACGGTGCATGACAAATGTTCCAATTGAGTAAACGAGATAACATGATTTTCATTCAATAAATCACGGTGTGCCAAGTCCAAAAGGTTTGTGAACCATTATAATAGAGCCTTCAATTTAATTTCCTGTATGTAAAAGGACACAATTAGTCGTAGGATTTGTTTGTTGCCACCTGTTACATGAAGCGAAGCTGGCCAAAGCGCCCAGTTGGCAGCGGAAAGCTCATCGGCGGCCTCCATTTGAGGTTGTTGTTGGAAGTGGTCAGGATGCTGTTTCCCCTCTTCGACCGCTCACACATGAATGTTGTCATTATGTTGTGTGCGGCGGCGGTCCGGAGTGGTACTTTGCGTAATGGGGGCGGGAGGGGGGGGGCTCTCCTTCCAGGGCCTCTGCCCTTGTATGGTCGTTCCGCTGTTGTTATTTACGTTCCGCGCGAAGACTGCGCTTTACGTTGTCAGAGCCTGTGGAAAGTAGTTCATTTGGGTTTCTTCTCGGGGTTATTTACAATCTGCACACGACCGTGCAGATTCTTCCCCGTTGCGGATGTGCGGTGCGGCGCGCCGGTGCTTACCTTCAAATGTCACGCGTCCCGATGGAGTCGGTGGTCGTGGTGGTGGTGACACGTGTCAATCAGCGGCTTCCGGAGTGTGCTTTCAGAGGTCCCATCTTCTGAAGTACTGTACACGCTTTCCCCGCAGGGCTAATTGCTAGTGACGTCATAGGACTGCACCAATTTAGGACGTTCGGTGCTTCCGGGGAAAACGGCGCACGTTGATGACTCGGCCTTGTTTTCTCCTGGGAGGCGTTCAGGTGCATCGCGTGAAAGGGTTTGGTTGTGATTCCATGTGAAAAGTGAGACTTGGCAGACTGGAATATGAGCTTCTTGATCATCAACTGCACACGAGAGTCCCGCTACCGTGATCAATGACTCATCAGGATTAACCTTCCTCGCTATTAGCTTGGTCTCATTATCTCATGCATTGTGTGCACTAAATGGATTTCTCTCCTGTTTTTATTTCAACACTCAGTCAAATCGGTTTCGAATCAAAGTGGCATGTGGGCTAAATGCCTACGCCTCGTTTTTCGCAGTGAAGGGCTATCGATTTACCTTGACTGCATTCCGAGCGCTGCAATGCGGTCACAAACCGTCCGATGAGTGCTGGGGTGTCCCGCCCCCTCTTGGACACCAAAGGGGGGCAGCCGAGTGGTCGAGCGCAAAACAGGAAGGAGTCCTTCGTCCACCCATGATCTGAACCGTTTAATTCTCACAGGGGTCGCGGGTGTGCTGGAGCCTATCCCAGCCGTCTTGGGGCAGTAGGTAGGGTAAAGCCTCAACCGGTTGCCCGCCAACCGCAGGCACACATCGACAAACAACAAGCATTCACATTCACAATCACAACCCAGGGCCATTTGGAGTGAGCAATTAACCTACTGTGCAAGGTTTCGGAATGCGGGAGGAAACTGGAGTCCCCGGAGAAAAATGTCATTTGTTAGTTGCTCTCCAAAACGGACCTCGTGCCAAAAGCTTTGCTTAACTCCCGGGTCGGGTGTGGATTTCATCCGGCGGAGGCCGTGACAGAAATAAATGGCCTGATCTTTGTTGTGCTGGCTGAGTGACAGCTCATCTCTCTTCTCTCGCCTCCACGACTCTCCATTCCCCCTCGGCCTTGATCCGCCGCTCGTCCGCCGCCTCGTTCTTTTCATCCTGTGGGGTGAGAACGCAAAGCGTGGCGGAGCAAATGTGCCAGCGGGATTCTTTGCATTCTCCCAACCCGGCTTGGCCCCGGTGTTGGGTTCCCGGGAGGGCGCTGGAGGAGCCAGCGGCGGGGGGGCAATCGGCTAACGACTCACCTCCTGTGATCTCTGCCTCTTCCCAGCGCCATAAAGCAAATCATCGACTTTTGCCACTGAGCACCAGGTGTTGCACTTTTCAACCAAGTGGTCCAGTCCAGTTTGGCTCAGGGTGGTCCAGTTTGGATGAAACAATTTGGGAGCTTCCTTCTGAAAAAAAAGAAAGAAAGAGAATAAAAAATTGCCACCACAGTATGGCGTCTTGGGCCCTTCTGCTTCAATTGCACTCTTGGCTCACGGTGTGTCACACCACCTGAATGACATATTCGGTCTCAGAGTCATCAAAGTAGGAGTCGTGTTGCATTCAAGGACATCAAACTGCTGCGTCACAAGCAGCACAAAGTCACCTCCACCTTGCTGAGTCAGCCGCTGCTTCCTGATTTGGCAACGGACACCGACCGAGAGTACCGGATGCATCCACCCTTGCGGAGGCATCATGGCCGGGAAAGACCCGCATCGCTGGTCCCGTCACAGTCGCAACCGGGAGGCATGTGGAGGCTTAAAAAAAGGACCCCCTTGTTTCCCAGGCTTATTTATTTATAAGTGGCACATCAGGGTTTTTTTTTCTCCAGCTGATGAAATAATCATCAGCTGACTCAGCAGGAATCCCAACCTCATCCTTCAGGCATCTCAAAATCCCATACGGTCTATTTGATTGTTTATTTATTCATTCATTATCGGTCACCGCATTGGTGCAGCCTGAAAAGTTGAGGTCAAAAGTCCTCCCGTCATCCAATTAAAACAAATTCGTTCTACCGTCCACGGCAATCTGCCCCATTTCAAAACACTTCCCAACCCACAATAATTATCCCTGCGATTGTCTGCCTATGCCAAGCATTCTGATCTCAATCCGGCGAAATCGCAGCTGCCGCGCCAATATCTCCTCTTAAAGCCCGACTTAATCAGGCGCTCATTGCATTGGATCCACTTACTTACACTTTCATAATGCTCTTTGAACGGCCCATCGATTGGCCGCGCGTGTGCGCTAAATGCTTGCTATAATTGCAACCGAGACAGCTGACTGCGTCTGTCCGTCAAAGTCATCGGGATGCTCTGACTCGGTCTCCCCAAGATGGTCCGTTTAATCATTACCCGTCTGTGTTTTTGCGTGTGTGCGTTTTACATGCAAACGAGCGGTGACATTGACGCACCCCGCCCCGCACCCTGGCCCCCAACTCCCCTCAGGTGCTCATTAAAAGTATCCACTTGGCATCGATTTGGGTTTCATTGGTCGACAGGGTGGTTTCTGGTTTGCCTTTTCAGGCATTTGGTGGCCTTGGGCAAAGCTAGCATTCCACAAAAAGAAAAAAAAAAAAGAATCTGTCATTAGAAGATGACCCACTGGAGTCAATCGGCGTGATTTTAAGTCGATTGTTCCCGAGCGCTGAGGCGTTTCTGGCTTGGTTGCTCAGACGACAGCACAAGCTATTGCCTGCTGGGAATATCCCCATGCATGCAGCATCCCCCCCCCCTCCCCACCAGGACGGAACCAAACATATACGTATCTATTTGGAGCATTGCACCTGCACTGTCGTCTATGCATTCTACACATTTTATGTGTTCCAAATGTTTGCATGAGGAAGTGTGGCCACAACCTTCCGGTCTAAATCAGGCAGTCATGCAGGC